TTCCCTTGAAAGCTTTTCTATGTTAGTTCTGTAACCACACTTAAAAAATTTTATCCTCCTCCCCAATTTTTGGAGTACTTTACTAAATAGATCATGGGATGTGTTATCATACACACAGAAATAACTAGCCAAGGAGTCTATTATATATAATCGTAAGTGATATATTTTTAAAAATATCTACCTACTTCTGAACTACAAATATGCATTGCCCAGTACAGTGATACAGATATGATTCTGGACCTATAGTGGAAAAAGTCTTACATTTACATGCATTATTCTTTAGGAATTGCATAAAATGCAATCACAGAAATGTATTTAAAATTATTTACTTTGGGCTTCCCTGGTGGCGCAGTGGTTGAGAGTCCGCCTGCCGATGCAGGGGACACGGGTTTGTGCCCCGGTCCGGGAAGATCCCACATGCCGCGGAGCGGCTGGGCCCGTGAGCCATGGCCGCTGAGCCTGCGCATCCGGAGCCTGTGCTCCGCAATGGGAGAGGCCACAACAGTGAGAGGCCCGCATACCACAAAAAATAAAAAATAAAATAAATTATTTACTTTTCTTTGTAGCTACATTTTTAAAATGCATGTTTTTCCAATAAGTTTTGTGCACAAATTTTAACCATAATTTTAAATATTAAATTTTTGTTGTCAGAAGACTTTTCCTTCATCTACCATGTTTTGGAACCAAAAGAACCCTGAGCTAGATAAACTGAGGCTTTGAGCTTTACATTTAAACTATGTAAAATTCTATTTTAGCAAGGTTAACAGGAAGAAAGGCATTTTTATACACTGATCAATTACCTGATGTTATTTATGCCTCATAAAAATAGAACATGGGTTCAGCCCTAGAGAGGGTGGCCTCTTTTATTCATCAGTTAGCAAAACCAAAGGATTCTAAACTGAATGTTGTACATATCTGACAAACACATGCCCATTCAAGTTCTATTATTATTGTTATTATTATTGCTGATGCATTCTGGCTCAGTCCTTTCTGTTAATGTCTACTGGTCACCCCCTTTTGTGTTGGTTCTCCATAAAGTGGGATGTGTACTGTTGGTCCCCATACCATGGGGCTTACAAGATCTATAGCTGGGCCGATTACTGCCATATTGTGCAGGAAATCTAGCAATTCTCAAAGAATAGTGGGAAGTAGTGTTTGGGTCTGAGTAGGCCTCTTGTTTCTATACTTTCTATAACTGATATTTTGTGTGATGGATCCAATGATTCCATAGATGTCATAAAGGATAGACAGAGAACAGAAATATGTCTTACTTGATCACCTTGAAGGATCCTTAATGGTCTTGCTTGCTTTACTTTTCAGACTTCTTTTATGTCACTTCCAGTATGAACCTCATAACATTCCCCAAATGTGCACAATACTTTTACCTCTGTGCTTTCAGACATGCTTTTCTTTTTGCCTAAAATGTTTTTCCTTCTCTTGGTGAACTCCTACTTATCCTTTAAAACCTAACTAAAGTATTACCTCCTCTGGGAAACCTTTTTTTAACCATCCCCTACAGACTTTGCTGCTACTTACTTTGTGCTCCTGAAGTACTTTTTACATATATTTATTACCACAACTGAACTGAATTGAAATTTATTGGTTAATTAGACTATGAACTCCTCAATGTTAGGGACAGATTTTACCCCTCTTCCCTACTTGGGGAGTGTCAGTTTGATACCCTGTTCAGTAAGCATCAGTTTCTTGCCTTCCTTCTAAACCAAAATCTCTATTTGCTCATTTACAAAACTAGGGCCTTGGTTGAAATGGGTTTTACAACACTTTCTAGCCAAAAAACCTTTCATACATATATTTGTGAGGCTTCTTCAAGTCTTTTCTCAGATATCATTTTCTCAGTGAAACCTTCACTGACCACCCTAACCTAACACTCCTGGCACACCCCTTATCCCCCCTCCCTCCTTTTTTGTCTCTATATACTTTTATCCCTATAAGATACTCCATAATTTACTTATGACTTTTGTTTATTTTCTCTCTCCACTAGAATGAAATATCTGAAGATAAGACATTTTGCTTATATTGTTCACTGCTGTATTTCTGGCACCAAAAATGATACCTGGCATATAGTTTGTTCTCAGTGAATATCTGTTGATTGAATGAACTCTCAAATGTTACAAGCGAAAGATTCAAAGAGATCATCTCATCAATCAGATTCAAAACAAAAATTGTCAGTGGCCAAGCCAGGATTAGCTATGGGAATGTGACCAAACAGTGGAGACTGCAGGCTGATTGACAACTGTCAGAAACAGGGCAGTATAACTGCAGCAAAGGAATGAAGCTACCTATGAGGCTAAGAATGGGACTAACCTGGATCCTGAAAATAAACCTGCCACAGCATGACCACATTCTCATATGTAGGGCGTAATCACAGGACACACTGTGACAGGTGAAGGGGGTCCAGCCCACAATGGCAAAGCTAGAGAAGTGTGTCTTCCAGCTTCTCTTTCTGTGTTCTTCTCTGATGATATCTGCCCCTTTTGGAACTTAGGGACCTTTACTTCTTCCTCTCCTTTCTATTGCAGGATCTCTAGAAAAGGCTGATACATATTGAGGCACAAAATACTGGTGACACCTATGATCTCTCTCAAGGGAGCTTGACGGGCTATACAACATAAACCACTGGAACCAAGCTCTTAACTTAGGGACTTCACACACTGGCAAGTAGAGGGAGGAGATAATGTCTTTCTGACATCCCTGAATTCCTGCCATTCAACTTGAAATAACAAGCTCTGTGTAAACAAATGTAACTAATAAAATATTTCCAAAGTACCTCCTGATGTAGGCCTGTTTATCAGTAAGCTAATCACCCTTCCACATGCTATATTCCATTTTAAGACTTACCTGTGAGGTTGGAGTCAGGGTATAGGACATGGCATTTAGAAAGCAAAAAGCCCCAAATCTATCCCTTCTTGTTTGGCTATACCAGAGGAAGCCCTTAAGGGATTATATAGAAAAAGTCTATCCCTTTCAGCCCAATTTGGGGGAAAGAAGGGATTCAAATATTAATTGAGGAGGGTAGTTTCCAGTGTTCTTGTTCCCCAAGCCCCTTAATTCAGGGACAAATAGCAATAGAGAGAGCTGAAATGATAAGCATTCTAACAGTTTCAAAGAGTCTGAGGACTTTAGAGTACAGAGTTTGGAAAATCTCCCTGGCTATGCTAGGAGGAACCATTACCAGGGAGAGCTAATGCATTCTCCTTTCTCCTATAGAAAGGCAGTGGCACTGGGACGATGGTGGTGACAATAGGCATCAACTATTGGAAGTCTTTTTATTTCCCATTGCCTGAATGGGATGTACTAATGTACCCAAAGATTCTCATTTGTCCCAGTTGAGGGGGTCTAGAGATGCTTATAACACAGCAAAACAGCAAGATCTTGCATTTGGAACAAAAAGTCCTCTGCAGACTCAGATTCTGAGACTATATAAAATGTCTAGGGTCATAGGCTACAGTGGTGGGTGCTAGCTGGAACTTGCTTCCCGGGAAGTAGACTGGACTGGCCACTCTGCAGCTCAAACAAGCAAAGATCTGTTTAATACTGCACAGCTCTGAGGAACCTTCCTCTTCTGTCACCATGAGATCATGTAAGTCATTCCCAGACACTAACTTGGAAAGAAGCAGGGGGGAAAGATAAAATTTGAGAGTTTAAAATTTTTCTTAAAAGGGCTACCCTGCCAGTTGGTTCCTATGAGAAAGAGTGGATGAATTATAGGAAAATAGAGTAGTCACATTTGCTTTGCACATCTGTATGTGAAAAGTGAGTATTTTTTGCCATCTCACTGTATTTGAGGGGTTTTCCCAGGATTTTTGAAAATCTGTGTGGAGCAAATTTTTGTAACATGGAGTAATATACATAACCCTCCAAGCTAAAATTTAAAATCCTGTGTCAGGGCCATGATCCAGGGATAGGATCTGAAGATGCAGATAGAGGATGGTCAACATAAGGTAGGAAACAGGGATTAATAAAAGTTCTTACTAGAGCCTGTTTCTGGTCTGCAAAGTTTTGAAAAATAGAGTCAACTTTTTGGAAAGGCAAGCCCAATACTATCACCATCAATTCAAGACTGGGACATATTTGGAGAGGTACTTTTGGAAAAAGAGATTGGATTTCAACAACTAATCGGAGAGAATATCCAGCTAGCATTAAATTAATTAAGTCAACATAGGGATAATCAAGGAGTGAGCAAGTAGATTCATTGTCAGTCTTGTGAGACATAGCTAAATGAACACTCATCCATCTCTTGAGTAAAACAGCTGAGGTTAAAGAATATTACCTCCTAGGAGCAAAGAAGACCATGGCTGGAGACTGGGTTGTGGCACCCATGCCTTTCAATAGTAGGTCCATGGCATGCAGGACACAGAACTTCCTATATTTATAAGAAGGGGGTAAGGTGTGAGAGCACTGCTGGACCCAGGGATGGCAGGGGGCAGGATGTATAGATTCCTATGGATGATGACTTTGAGCCTGGGGACAAAGTTCTGGGGTCTAAGACTGCAGTGGTGAATGTCAGCACAAAAAATGGATAGAGCAATAGCACCTCAGACTAGAAAGCAGTCCCAATCAGCTGGTTTTCAGCAGTGTTCAGGTAGAATCCATAGGAATTTGTATGAATCAGAGGCTCCCATTTCCCCCCCACTCCCACAAAATCATGTCAACCCTATCCTTTCCCCATACATCTGGTTATATTAGAGAAGCATGAGCAGAAAGAGAGGAAATCTGAGAGACTAAGCATATGACCTAAAGAGCCTGAGCATCTGCTTAAAAGTATTGCTGAATTATTGTACTGGACTCAGTTTGTTGGGTTATTCTAATATGTATACACTTCCCACTTCTCACATGCAGTTGGTTTGTGAGGAAGATCAGATGAGTAATGGAATTAAAAAAAAATTCCTTTGAGCACCTGGGGGTAATAGAATGAATAATTTTGTAATCCTGCTATTTTAAAAATTAAGTTAATAAGGAAATAGTGTCCAAAAAGCCAATTAACAAGAAAACTCTTTTATTGATAGAAAAGCAGAACAAAATTTCCACAAATTCTGATATCTGTTTTATTCTGTCTGTTGGATATACTCAAGTTCCAAAATCAGTTTTTTCTGTTGCTGGTCTTGTTATCATCATTATTGTTGCTTGTTAACCTCTCTATAGAAAAAAAAAAAAACAGTGAAATCACATGACCCTGCCTCATACAGGTAGGACCATCTTGATAAGACATTGTCCCTAATTAAAGCTAATTAAATTCTTATTCTAAACTAAGCATCCTTACATGGCACCAATTGTATTATTAGGTTGGTGACATTAATAAATATTGATTTCAAAACATTGAAACTGTTTCTCAAATGTTATCGAATAAATCAAAACCAAATCAGAATAAGATTTATGTTCAATTCAATGATTAAATACCCCCTCAATAGGTAGGTCAATTTATTCTAATGTAAACTAAAACACATATGAGCCACAAACACTAGTTCCAAAAAAGAGTGGCTCAGATAAGTGGCTTTTCAGATTTATACTCAAAGTCCAGATTCACATGGGAATGGACCTGAGGAACCTGACCAGGTTAAATTTCTGGTTCTAATTTAACCTATAACTTCCACATAATATCGGCTAGCAATTGCTCAACTGTCACCCACATAAAAGTAGTTAAAGCATGTCTACACAATGGAAAATGGAGTTTTAACCATTATCTAATTAATTCAATTGATATAGATAGAAACAGTGGAAAAAGTCAGATGCCAAAGGTTTTTTAAAAGCTAATTTATACATATTTCCCAAAAACTACTTATCAAACTAAAGAGATTTACCTTTAGCTATGTAGATATAAGTTGTATCTCCACACCACATATAGGTTGAAAATTAAAAATCGAGCCACAATTCAGGTTTGTGGTCTAGATGGCCCTAAATCTCTTCTAGGTATTTTTGCTTTCCATCTAGATATTCAGACCACATAGATATGGTCATAAATTCATTATCTTGCTACATCTGAGTCACTAACAAGGAAAGGAAGCTTATCTAATTACCAATTCCCCCGAGTCAAACAGGACTCTCCCCTTTCATTAAATAAAGAGAAAGTCATCAGATTTAACTCCAGAGAAATAGGTGCATGCATATACCCGACTTCTCAGTATCCTCTCTGGATAAGAGGATGGAACAACTATTTGGTTTCCATCTCATTCTTGTAATGACAGAAAAGAGAATACAAAAAGTCCATTGTAAATTTGTACAAAATGTATGCATATATAAATACATATCTATGGGTGTATATAAATTCTAAAGAAGATTATATCCATCTACATCTTTAAGATTCAGAGTCCCATACAGTTGACATAATGGTATTCTCTCTCCAATTTTCTAACCTTTAAAAACAATAAGAATCAAGCATGCCACCTTATGAATACTGAATAGCAAGTGCAGAAGTTGAGCTGTAGCTATAGGGATTTGAAGCAATTAGTCTGACGGGACATCAGTGAATAAAATCCTTAAAATAAATTTGTCTATTTCCAGATTGCTTTTTGTTTCATATAAAATGAAATCCAAAATGCCCTGTTGGTAGCATCCCAAACTCCTTAGACTGTCAACTGAGCTCTATAAGAAGTAATGCTTTAAACAGGGTCTGTTCAAATTGCTTGGATATGTGCTTATTGCAATAATTTGGTGTGGGGACTGGCATTACCAGAATTTCATGTAATTCCTTATCTCATAAAAAATCTCAAGTGACACCACCAGCTTATAGAGTTCTGAGAATATTAACTCAGCATGAAATTTGACTCACAGATCACATCATCTTTACATAGAGCACTATTAAAAATATTAAGCCATAGTCAATTAATAGAGAAAGGCATACATATTTAAAGGGGCACATTAAGAACATATTATGGATGTGTACCCATGTTTAGAAGTATCAAGATCTTTTAAAACAATATACATAATGTTTTTATTTCTCCTGTTTCCTCTATTCCTTTGGGGAAAAATTATACAGGACGATTTCATAATTACCCCCTAGAGTGTACAGGCTGCTCCTTGAAAGGGGATTATTATTGCATGCCTTGAATGCACTATGATTCATAAGGCAAAATGTATGAGTAGCTTCAGCACCAAGGAAATGGAGTCATCATCCAGCACTGCTCACAACAGAACATCTTATTGCTTTAATAAAATGGGAAATTATTCACTGTAAAAAGTGCACCTAATAAGGGGGACAAAGTAATATCCACGCACTTAGTGGAGCTCATTGGAAATGAGGAAGCTCCCTTCTGAATCCCTAATTCTATTCAAATTTCAAGTCCAAAATTCATTCTGTAATAAGGTATTAAAGAGCTATAGCTAGATGAGGGTGAGCTACAAAAATTAATGGACTTTCTTCTTTACAGTGCCTTAGTCATTCTGATGTACAATGTAGAGCTCTGATGTACTAAAGGATTCCCTAGTGGCCTGAGGGAGTTAATGCACTCTTTTACCTATTACTAGGAAGTGACTAAGGCACTGGAGAGAATCTGGTTCATTGTTTAATATATTGCACTCAAAGATTACACCTAGTCTTCCTAATATTACAACACGGCATGCTAAAATGATGATCCTCTGTGCTTCAGGAAAGATCTTGAGTGGATATGTAATGGTGATTAAAATTTACCTTACTAAATTATTTTTATAAAAGATGTAGATTGAGTTTGGGCAATTTAATAGATGACCTAAAACCTCAGAGGTACTATTTTCTCTGGATAAGAGCACATATGCCTGGAACCAAGACAGAGAATCTAGAGCTACTAGTTACTTGGGAGAGGGATGCACTTAGGGGCAATTTTGCCTTACATCCTGCAGGTTAGTAAGGTCTCTTTTGGTTGAGCTTTCTGTAGAACATTCTCATTCATACATTTTCCAAATCTGTTCCCAAGAAAGGATGCCTGCATATAGTTTAAGATTATAATATGCGTCTGGCCCCTTCTATCATCAACCCAAGGAAACAAGTGGTAAATAACCATAGGTGGACTCCATTTCTAACATAGATGGCCTTATCTGGCATTAGGAGAGAGAACAAAAATACTGATCTTTTTCTCTCACTTACTTTTTTCTTACTCTTTCTTCATACATTCAATGAAGTTAGGTAAGCCACACTGAGAAAGAGAAAGAGAGCACTCCTTTAGCTGCATCTCAGTTACAGGCAGAGATATCTAACTAAACAAGCTGCAAACATTTTTATCCTACAAGCAGTTACTGGATTTAACTTCTTTTAAAATTTGCATGTCCTGTCATCCAAATTGCCCAACATCCCCGCCAGTCTCACCCCCAAACACGTACAGTACAAGCAAGCACACACACACCACTGCCTCCAGGTGGTAATTGCATGCAGGGAGGACTACAGGCACTGTTTAAATATTAACCATGTTTTAATAGATGGCATTCCTGCACATCCATTATTTGTTTGTTTTCTGTTGTGGTTGTCCTGTTATTCACAAAAGAAATAAGAAAACATATGTATCATATTTTTATAACAATCTACTACAGAGTAAGGTACAAAAGAACACTTCTGGAAATAGCAGAAGCCAGGCCTGCACCACTGAATTCCTCATCCAGTGGTAATAATTATATCAACAGCTGGGAATTAAGAACAAGAATATACAGTTTGGAGGACGTAGTACAGAATTATAGTTTGCTTCTGTATTTGGTACCAATATAATAAATATATAACAAAGGTGCACTTGTTCTAAAAATTAAACTGAAACATTCTGGTTGGTTAGATACTGCACTTTCAGTACTGCACATCACCTAATTTATTTTATTTTATTTTATTACAAAAGAAGGTAACTTATGCAATGTTTAATAAGAAGAAAACCAAGAGTACACGCAAACCCGATTGTAGAAAAAGAGGAAAGAAACCAACAAAAAGCTAGAACACTTTCCAAAACATCCCCTCCTCGACTTGCACAACCAAAGAATGTACCCAGTTCTGAGACAATTTCAGCACCAGATCTGTCTGGACAGCTCCCGGATCCTCTGTGAATCCTGAAAATGCCACAAGTCAAAGGTGTACAGATGGGGGAGCAGGGCAAGAACTAAAGCAGTAGATTCTTTCTTTTTCTTTCTTTGTTTCTTTCTTTGTTTCTTTCTTTGTTTCTTTCTTTCTTTCTTTCTTTCTTCTTAAAACTCAGTTATAGATTTTTAATGAACTTATGCTCGGCCAGCAAGGGACATTTCTAAAAGTAAATTAAAATGCCTGGTCCTGGAAAAGAGAATGGTTAACTAAAGGTGAGAAGAGGGCTGACTGGAGAGCGGTACCTGTCATAAACGTTTTTCTGGGACAGTCTCTGGCCTCTTGAGGTCCTGGTGCTTAATGTTTACGTTTTCTTTATAATATACTATTGCCTGAGTGCGGCTGAACGTGGGAATGGAGAAGGGAGGGAAGCTGAAGGAAAAGTGGGGGTGAAGGGGAAGAAAGGTAACTGAACCTTAACTTGACAGCTATGTACAACATACCAGGCCCCCTCCACTCCCTTTGTTCAGGGAGTCAACGCCTTTTACATGTTTGGTAGCTTGTGCGGTCTCTCCTCCATACTGTGGGGGCGCAGGGTGGAGAGGGAAGACGCGTCCTTCACTGACAATGAGAACTTATGTGATTTGTCATGCGCTTGGATCGTGTTATTAATATTATAATAATTACTATAAATAATAATAATAAAGTATTATTATCAGCGTTATTTCTTCTTCCGAGACTTTCCTCGCCCAATATTTACAAATACCGCACAGTGCCTCGGCGGAGGAGAAAAAGAGTAGGGGGGAGACAAATAAGGAAAGAAGGAAGAGGAAAGGGAGGCCACAGGAAAGTGGAAGAGGAAGGCCGGAGAAAAAAGAGCAAGGACGGCAAAGATGCTGGAAACGAGGAAGGGAAGAGGAGAGGGACTAGACAATCAGGACAGTACCACCGTTTGCAAAAGGCCCTCGCCAGCTGGGTCCAAACAGGAGGAGGCTGTGTGCGCTCCTTGCGGACTGGGGGCCGGTGGTGGAGGCGGAGGAGCACAGGGACGCTGGCACGGGAGGCCAGGGGAAGAAGAGGCGTTGGATGAGGCGCAGAAGGCAGCGTCCCCTCCCTGCTTCTCCAGCCGGCTTTCTTTTGCTTGGTTTGGGGCCTGGCCGCCCTCGGGTTGGGGAAGCCCCCTGCCGCCGCGGTTGCCGCTGCAGTGATCCCGCTCATATTCCTCCTGAGCCCTCTGCATCTTCCGTTTCTTCATCCTACGCTTGTGGATGTGGAAGGTGGAGAGGGACAGCACGATGAGGCAGAAGATGAGGGTAACCAAGACAATCAGCACCAGCGTGGAGGAGAACGAATGGAAGAGCTGCTGTCCCACCTGCGTGATGCACGTGCCGCCGCCGCCTCCTGTGCCCGGGCCACGGGCGCTCGCGTTGCCCGTGCCGCTGGCGTTGGGGGAAGCAAAGGTCCGGTTGAGGAGACACGGCGGCAGCGCCAGCCTCAGCTCCTTGGGCTCCCTTGCACTCATCGGCGCTGGGCTGGGAGGGGCCAGGCACACCAGACTTCCTCTTCTGGGCACACGGTTCCCACCAGCCAAGAAGAGGACGGAGCCCGCGCCACCCAAAATTACTCCCTGGTGTGGGAGGGGATGCGCTAGCGAGCGAAGGACTGAGGGAGCAACTGCGGGCAAGCAAGCCGGCCAGGGAGCGAGCGGTACCCAGGAGATCCTCTCCGGCCCCGCCTCGAACGCGTGTTCGCGCGCCCTTTTCCTTTGCCAAGGCACCAGGCTGCAAAGAGAACAGGCTTAGTTAGGATCCCAGCTGCTGCCCGGGGGAGCGCTGAGAACCGGAACGATCACCGCCACTGCAAAGCGGCCCTCTGAGCACACTGCCTCAGCTGGGCGCCGCCCGTCTTCTCCGCAGCCCGCGGACCCCAGCCCGCCCGCCCGCCCCTGGCCACGCACCAAAGCCTCCAGTTCCGCGTTCGCGCCACTTTGCTGGGAAGAGGGTCTGCGCCGACACCGCGGAGATGCCGATTACTCAGCAGATAAAGCAGCCACCCTGAGCACTCCACAACTTTCTAGTCGCAACACACACACACAGCCACGTCGGAACGCGGTCCCTGCTTCCCAGAGAGCCGACTCTCCTCTTTCCGGAGCCCTCTCAATGGATGTCTTCGCCTGGATCCTACCTTTCCCAGCACCCACCCCGGGCCGCCGAGCCGGCTCCGGGTACGCAATCCTCCCTTCCCTTCCCTCCCCCTCCAGACTCTCGCTCCCTGGACGTTGGCAGATCCCTTAGGTCCCAATCCCATGGGGGTAACCCTGGAGCCGCATCCCATTCCGCCTCTGTCCGCGGCTGAGGCTGACACGCAGGATCGCGCTCCATCCTTTCTCCATCCTTCTTCCCTGGTACCTCCCCAAGCCCCCCCCCCCCCCCCCCCCCCCCCCCCACCCCAAACAACCAAAAAAAAAAAAAAAAAAAAAGCTGAAGCACCTTTCTTTCTCAGCTAAAGCACATCCTTGCAAACGCCCCCTTCTCCACATCTCTCTGTGCCCCCCACTTGACAGTATCCTGCTTCTTTCTAAGGGTGCTGGAAATGAAAGGGGGAGGGTTCCCGCCTGCAAAGTTTGGGGAACAGACCTTCTCTCGGGCCTTCCCAGTCCCAGCCCGAGGGCCCTGAGGCTCTTCCCGGGGAACAGAGCCAGGGAGATCCGTAGCGCGCAGCCGAGCCCCCTTGCCGCTCTCAAGAGGCAGCTGCAAACTGTTGCACTGCGGAGCAGTGAGGCGGCGTGCAAGCCCGGGCCGGGGCAGGGGCGGGGGCCGAAGCTACGGCCAGGGGTGCCTGCGCAGGCCGCCGGGGCTGTCCTACCCGCTCGCGCCCTGCCACCCGGCCGCCTGGACCTTTAGTCGCACCGTGTCCCTTACCTGGGGCCGCCAGCTGGCTGCAAGGAGGGAGCCCCGCCGCGCGGCTGCAGTGAACGGCTGCAGAAGGCGCGGAGTGAAGGGGCCAGAGACCAAGCCTCGCTGTCGCCGCCGCCGCCGCTTCGGGGAGCTCAGCTCGCAGCCTATTGCCAGAGAGGCCGGTGACGTCAGGCAGCCACCGCCAGGGCTCCGAGCCACCCCTCAGGCCCCCACCCCACCCTCATACCCCCAGCACCTCGTCCTGGCAGAGCCAGCCTCTGCCACACTCGTTCCCGGTTCCCTGTTGTTCCCCTGCTCAGGGGCTGAGCAGTAACCCCCATCTCCACCCTGTGAGCAACCCACCTTCTGCACTCCTCTGCTTAGGAAGGGCTGAAGCTTCAGTTCTCTGGCTGCCCGACTTCTCACCCTCCACCCTTTCCCACGTGGTCCCAAGCACACATTTTTACACTCTAGAGATCCATCTCCCCTCAGGGCACACAATAGATTTTCTCCCTCTGCTGAGGGGGATCTTCCCCTTCTCCAATCCTGTTTATGCTGGCCTGGCTCTGAACAGAAACAGTGCATGAGAAGGGCATTTCTGAACACAAATGTGGCAGAACCTGAAATACAAATCTGAACATGTATTTAACATCAAACAATCTAAATGAACCGTTTTCCTCTCCAGTAAGATCAGAGTCTCCAAATTACCTTTCACTCCACCCGACTCAGGATCCTCCTCTCTTCCTTCACACACTCATCTCCAGGCCCAAGACCCACTCCGTGTATTAAATACTCCTATTTTGACAATCTAGCCACTCATGAGCATGGAAGGCTTATAAGGCAGGAAGACGAAAATCACTCAGAGGAGTGCAGAAATGAAACCTTATGAAAATTCCGGGCATTGTGTCTCTTACAAAGTACCCCTTCATGGCCCTAATACTTGTTAAAGTGTTTGGTGCTTTTCTGTAGTATTAACAATAGCCTTTCTGCACAATGGATAGGACTTCCTGAAAGAGTCTCATCAGCCTGCCTAAATCTGGGCAGAGACTAATCAACTATTGGTTTAGAACCCTTGGGAGAATATGAAAAGTGCATTTGATTACAGTAGCCAACTTCAAAATAAAGTATTCTCATATGTCTACTGTAGAAAACAGCAGTCTCAAAGATATTGTATGGTCTTTGAAGGCATTCAGGTGTCTTATTAAATGTACATTTCCTTCTTCTCTTACTGTTTTGTTTTCTTCCCATCTTTGAGTCCAACACAGTGCCTGTGTAGTACTCACTTGCTAAATTCAGTGCTGCAGTATACGTGGCTGCTTTTTCCTGCTATGCCTCAGAATTGAGAGAGAAAAACAATGACTGATGCTCACCTATCTGCTTGCATTTGCAAGCAGAGGGTTTTGTAAGAAAGACAGTTTGACTCGCGAGGTAACGGTTATCTGTAATCTGGGGGTCCCTTCTTCTGAGCCTGTGCTGCTATCTAGTCCTGCTCCAACTTCTCCTTTTCCTCTCCTTGCCCATGACTTATATACAGAGAAAGAAATACATCATTTCTCCCCCAAATTCTTTCATTTGTTTGAACAAAAGTCATCAACTTTTTCTTCATAATTGTTTCAATTAAAAAAAGTATCTCTACTTAAGCTAATAGTATAGCTTAAGCAGTAATAGTATAGCTTAATAGCAGTACATGCTGAATAATACATGGTTTCTGGAGAGCACGGATTGATGCCTTTGGCTGCCAGAGTCACACAATTAATGACAGCCAATGACCCTAATGCTGGTTTAGTTTTCTTGCCTGGAATGAGGACACCTAATGCCCTGTAAAAGACACCTGCCACATTTGGACATTCTGAATTTGATGGGCTCAAGGGCTAGAAGGATGAGCCTTGTTTTCACTGGGATCACAACATGAGACTTCACTATTGACGCTTGACATGCAATACCCTATTTTTTCACACTTTCTTTGTTCCTGAAAAGTTGAGTCTAATCTACATTTTGTAAAGCAAATTCAATTTTGAATACTCCAAAAAGAGTTTGGGCTATTTAAAGAGACTCTTTAGAAAAGCTGTCTTTAAAGCAAAGAAGTTTATCATAACTAGAATTAACTCTCACTGGTCTGTTTTCCAAACTTGAAAAAATTAGTTGTCAGGTTCTCCCAGTGAGAAACATACACGCCTTCACAATATGTTATAATGAGATTACAATATGTATATAATGGGATTCCTTTCGCACACCAAGCTTCTAGGGCATGTGATTAGGCTGTCATTGTTCTTATTCTTTTGTTATAAATTATAATCATCTGTTATAGCACAAGTGCTAAAAGTGTTTGCACTATTTTACACAACCTATGAAAAGACAAGGTGATGTCTTGGAGAATTTACAATCTGCAGCAGATGAATGTGATCCACAAGACAACTGTATTTAACTGGACATGATTTAGGTAGATTAAAGACATCAATTTTCAGGTCAAAAGCCCAGTACACTTTTTTTCCTTTCTCCTTCAAGAAGAATAGTCTGTAGGTTTATAATTTGTTCTTACCCAGAGAATGAATGTGCTAAGCAGATAGACGTGGATATCATTGGGTAGTATGATTCAAGCCCCAAGAATACCAGTGGCAGCAAACATACACACCTCTTGGTCTACAAGAATTGATCCCACTGAGTTGCTATATGATTTTGGCACATCTGGCACAATGACGAGACTTCTTCCAGACAACTTGTTGCCACTGTTTTTGCCACCAAACTCCTCAGGTCACACTTGCAAGAGTGGAGGACTCAGAAGCCTATGGGACTCCCATAATCTCCTCTTGTGATGGGAAAGCCCCTCTGAACTCAGGCACATTCCACATATTCAGCAATATTTGCCCTCAAGTTTGATGCGGAATCTCCAACTAGCTTAGACAGAAGTGCCACATGGGCACCTGGTACCTCAATCCAAACAAGCACTGAATCAATAACAATTACAACAACAGCAATAATAAGTGCTATTATTATTATTATTTGCAAAATGCCTCCTATGTACCAAGCTTACTAAACTCTCCTTATAACAGCATTAAACCTCAAAGTAACCCTGCAAGGTTATTTTTTGCCAGAATACAAAATTACTTATTTATTCATTCACTTATTTGCTCAACAAAAATCTTTGAGTACCTGCCATATGTCAGGTGAGGAAACTAAAGCTCAGAGTAGCTAAAGACTATGCCCAAGTCACCTAATAGTATAGTGCTGGGATCAAACCCAAGCAAACTGATTCCAAAGTTAGTATTCTTTTCATGACTAGTGGTTTCTCTCTCTCACACACACACACCCACACCCATATCTCTATTTCTACCTCTGATACAATTTTATCTCTATCTCTATCTACTGCTGATTGGAGGAATGCAAGAAAGTAAAACTAGAGAAAAGCAGAGCTGTTTAGTTGAAGCAGAGGAGGGGTGCTGAGAAGCCTTATCACCAGGATCCTCCCCTCTCCCCAGAAGCAGTCCACAAGCTGCTCCACATAATTCCTTGGACTGAGCAAAGTCCAGCTTGGAAACCCTTGTACTGCGCTAGGTCACCTAAGCAGGTTATTCTAGAACACGGTGCAGCATGATACATGCCAGGCTCCTTTTAGATTTACAGGGACTTTTCCAGAGGCTGTTCAGGTGATCTTAACATTTTGCCTAATCACATATCTCGACTACTCTGGCTCCCTGAATACCTACAGAGATATGCTCTGTATGTTGTCATATTGCTGTTAAATCAACTACTGGTCCAGCTAGCAACTAATTAATAAACAAGGTGCTGAATGAAGCTCTTGACCTTATTCAAGTTATCTAGTTTTTTACCTGATTCATTCTTCTCATCTGTAAAATGAGAATAGTATCTTCATTGCAGTGTTTATTTTAAGTACTGAGTATATACTAATCATTCAGTAAATGGTAGCTCTTTACACTGTAAAGCTATTACTAAGATTAATATTTTAACCATGACAATAGAAGCATTATACTGTTTGGGACATCAAAATTCAGGAAAATTTTTATAAGTCTGAGTATTTTTATGGGAGGATAACTATAAGGGTGAAGGGACTGAAAACAATAATAGATAATGAGCAACTCAAGGAACTGGGACTATGAATCCTAGAGATGGGAAGACATGGAGGATGCATCATAGAAACTTCAAATGTTTAGAGAATCATCAATAGAAGATGAATTTATCCTTCTCTAGGTACTCAAGAGAGAACTGAAACATAGTGGAATAGATATATGGTAGGAAGTATATTTCAATTCACTATTTCATAATTGAAAATATGTTTTTCTATATGTAACAGGTTATAAACTAAACCAGCCATCTTCAGACTTGGGGGACTCATATCCCTGGGAGTACACTAAGATTTTTCCCGGGGTATATGAGTATGTATAGTTTTAAAGGAATAATTTCCCAAATCCTCAACCTCTATGTGTACTTTTCCCCAAAATGTATCTATCTGAGGTTAGAACTTACCC